ATTCCACATCTCAAAATAGTATTTAACTTTGGTAGGTTGGACTGTTGCCATCTCAGGATTACTCCCACAGGAATATATATGCAACTCAATGTTTATGACATCACAAAGCCAAGGGTTGGGACTAATCTGTATTTGCTAAGGTCTGCAGCCGCTATTCCCTCACTGTACGAAACCATATTTACAAGGTATGCGTAAAAGGAAAATGATCTTGGGACACCCACGCATACTCTGTAAATAGGAATTCAATTTACTGGTTTATGAGTACACTGTAGATTGAAGGTGATTAAAACCATGAGTGAGAAGGATGCCGAGCCAGAGCAGATGGTGTACCACACCACTTCCTTAATTCCCAAAGCTCAAGGCTCAGGGATCCAAGTGGGCCTTCATCCATACTGGCATCTTCTTTGAAGAAAGGCTCATTTGACCTCCCTGGAAGTAGTACTTCCATCTTCCTCTGAGCCCAATTCCCACCCCATTCCCCATTGACTAACTCCCATTTGTTACTCAGTAGACCTAAGCCTCGAGTGCCATGTGTGTCTGTCATCACTGGCTCTGATAGGCTCCTCTTCTCTACTCCCTCATGTTTTAGTGTGTGCCTTTCTCATATAACCCATCACCCGGTTGCTTGTCTGTCATGCACTCTCTCTCTTTCTCTCTCTCTTTTGCCCCACATGGACCAAAGTTTATTAAAGAGACAGAGAGGGGAGGGGCTCATGAGGGAGACATGGAGAGGGGCTTGCGTCTACGCTAGCCTCTGCTCTCTCCTGTCTGTCATGCTCTCTTGACTTTAAGTTGCTCATTATAGAACAGCTATTTTATTCATTGTTGATCCGCAGAGTCTAGCACTGTCTAACATTGATGAATGAATGAATGAAGTTTGTAATGGAACCAAAGCTCATGAATACAATTAGGAAGCCTAAGGGTGAAGGTCAGACGCAAATAAAGAAATGTCTTGCCCAACCTTCCTTCCGAGGAGTGGTTAGTGGGTTTGAACCACCAGCCTTCTGGTTAGTAGTCAAATGCCTTAGGCACTACACCACCAGCACTCCTGTTGCTAAAGTAGATTGCATGAAGTCATATATGTGAGAGCAGAAGAAGCTAAAAAGGGGCTCGCAGGTCCACAGACACACCCTACACGTTTCTACACAGATACATTCAGAGTTTCATCAAACAGTTCCTCTGCCAATACATTTCCTCCCACCTGTGGAAACATACCTACTTTTCGATGAGCAAAGCAATCAGCAATGATGTCATGAATGAGTTTTGTCTTTAGTTCACAGAAACTAAGATACAAATAGATTGCTCAAAAAAGTCAGTGACATGCCCTAAGAAAAAGTTTAAACCTTAAACAAAAAATATCCCCTGAAGCCATTTTAAAGCTGAGTAATAGTTGAATTTAACTAGTCAAAAAGGTCTGCCTTGAGTATTACGCTCTTTTAAGAACTATTTTTTCAAAGTCACAGCAGCAATTCGAAAGACTAGATCGGAATGAAGAAGACTAGATAGGAACCTCAGGGGGCAATGAGTTCATGTTAATGAGGAACAACTCAGAAAAGGAGGATGAGAATTGGTGCACAGCTCAATGAATGTAATCAATGTCACTAAATTTTACATGTAGAAACGGTTGAATTGGTGCATGTTTTTTGTGTATATTCTCAACAATAATAAAATAAAATTTAGGAAAAAAAGAGAGCAGAGACAGACTGGAAGCGTTTTGCCTTTTCCCATGCTCAGTGATTTGCTACTGATTAGAATCTTTTGAGATGGTTTATCTAAAATCTCAGATTTTGGTGCTCCAATTCCATTTTTTTTCTTCAATGCTGGGCATTTGACTACTTTCAGCTGATGAAGAATGAAGGTCTTCACACTGGGCATTCTGACACTTGCATCCCAGACCAGACCAGTGTCGTTATAGGACTTTTAGCTCTGGGATTTCCCAGCTTCTGGTTTATTCTCAATTTTTAACCCTGTTAAATCTCCTCATGACCCAAAATGCTCACACAATAAAAACGAATTCATCCTTCCTAACGTGGGTGGAAGGTTGGGCAATCCTACTTCCGTAGTGATACTGCCTCGGAAACCCAAGGAAGGGTCGCTATGAATTGGGGCCGACTCGACGGCAAATTACAACAACAACAACAACAACAACAACAACGTGGGTCCCAAGTCTTGGAAACGCTTCTACTTATGTTCTGTAGGAAGGACCAAAGAAAAGAATTTAGGGGCCTCTCCTCTCCCTCCACTCTCTCGCCTTTCCTTTTCCGCTTTTTCATAGAATTGAGGGCTTTTGCTAATGCAGTCATTTCCAGGAGAGGAAGTCGCCTTTCTTCCAAGTCCTAAGCCGCTGGAGTGAATCAGAGGGGCAGCCACATCTGCACATCCTGTGGGGCAATCGCTCACGCGGGGGTGACAGAGCCTGCGAGGACTGGGGGGCTCCTGGGGACCCTGGGGTGGGGGTGTATCGGGCGTGGCCTCGAAGGGGTGCTTGGGGTGTGGTCGCCAGCAAGCGTAGCTAGACTGCCCTGCTTCCTCGTCGCCCCTTTCATCCTTTTTTTCCTATCTGTCCCCACTCGGGGCTGTATGGGTGCCTGGGCCCAGCCCTGCCGAGCCAGCTCCCCTCGGCCCCCTTCCTTCTGTGAGTAACACCGCCCTCCCTCCTCTCAGTTTACTACGGCCCCGCGGTCGCCTAGCAGCCGGGGCGCGTTGCCATGGCGATCCTCAGGGAACGTGTTTTGAATTATTTGGCGAGACCCCGCCCTAGCGGCGGCGGAAGGTTTTGGACTTCCTGACGGGGTAGGGCTCTTTCTTCCTCTCCGCCTTTCTTTGGAGAACTGCGTTCCAGGGGCACTCCCAGAGAAAAGACAGGAGCGAGAGAGGGCCGAAAGGACCTGGCGAGGGACTTGGGAGCCTCAGAGGGGCGGGGGACGAGGCTGAGCCGTCCACGTGTACTCGGGGGAGCTGGGGCCTGGGCCAGGTAGTGAGTCTGTTTGCCTGATGGTGGCGGCGGGAGGCAGCTGCCTTGGCAAGGCTTGGCAGAAGGGAGTAAAGAGACTGGGTCATCTGGCAAATTCCTCACATCCAGGCTTGTAGGCCAAGGATCAGGAGATGTAGGTTGCCGTCCAACAGAGCTTCTCATTTCCCTGCTCCCTTCTCCTCGCTAAAGGTATAGGTCCCTGGCTCTTGTAAATGAAGCTTGACTTTATTTCTTGGATTTAAGAGGTGACATTTAGTGATCATGAACCCCTCATTAGATCTGAGCTCGTCACTACTCTACCCATGGCCGTTGTCAGATCACCTAATAAACGAGATTGTCTTCTTCACATCAGAGATTCTGCTTCTGGGTATGGTTGACATCGCTTTCTCTCCCAACCCCATAGCACCTTCCTGTAGAATCAGAGCCTCAATTCAAATGTACAGTCCCTGACAGAGATGGAGTACCCAATACGCAAAATAAGTACAGGCCTTATCTGTGTTTACTTAGTAATCAGCAATGAACAGTTTTACGTATTTTTAACTACATCAAAGAACTGGACTAGGGGAAAGGTTTGTCCTTCACAGGTTTGCTGTGAAGATCCAAAGAGGTAGAGTGCAAGTGTGGACGGAAAGGGAACCTGTACTGTGTACCAGGCACTTGGCTAGACTGTTCACAAATGCCATCTCATTTAATCCTCATAACCAGCCTGAAAGAGAGAGGACATCTCTTTTCTAGAAGTGAGGAATCAAGATTCAAAGCATTTGACTTGCTCAAGTCTACAAAGCTAGTATATGGTGGAGCCAATATTCAAAACCTCCAAAGATTGTTGCCTTGAAGAAGGCACAACCGCCTGTTAAGAAAATATACAAATACCAGGCCTAGAAAACCATTTTTTTTTTTTTTTTTAAAAAAAGCAGTAATAAAATTTAGTACAAGCCATGACTGGGTTTTTCAGTGATGTTCACATCCATTTCTGAGGGTTTTCCTATTTAAAATTTATTCACTTTGGGCTGCTTTTGAATTAAGGAAGCTGATTGAACCCACACTGAATGCTCTGCAGAGCAGCTAGTTCTTCTCTGCAAGGGTCTCTCACTTAAGCCCTATCCTCTCCGTTTTTTTTTTTTTAATGAGATTTCTAGCTTCCAGCCTGTGAATCACACACCACAATATTCTCCCTCTTAGGCTTCCACTATTGTGTGTGTTCCATTTCTCCAGCTAGTTATAATATATTTATATATATATATATATATATATATATATATATATATATTTATATTTATATTTAAGAATGAGCAACATTTGCTTTTCAGCATGTCTTTGAACTGAAAGTCAGACAGCTCCCAGTATGAGAGGAGGCAGGTAATTTCTAGATGCGGGTTCCACCCTAAACAAGCAGAGGTATCTGGTCCAAGTGGTCTCTGCTTACTATGGGGATCTTCCTGGGTCTGGAATTATTCCTGAAGATTATTCCAGACCAGAAAGAGCTTGAGGATGTTTTCCTTCCCAGTTCCAGCAGATTCCAGATCAGAGCTGGCTTCCAGCAGGACCATGGGGGTGCCTCCCAATTTTCTGGCATAGAACTTAAAATCAGCTCTTTTAGTTTCACTAAGGTATACACATCTCTTATTATTACCACCTTGGGCCTTTGACAAAGGGCCAGATTTTGGCAACAGCAATCATTCAGAGGAAGGGAAAAAAGAGCCACTGTTCTCTATAAAGAGTTGGAAGCATAGAGAAAAAGGAGGATGAAGAAGCAGAGGAAGAAGAAATGGGAGTTTTAATAGAAGATAAAAAAGCAGAAGGCCAAGGTGTAGACATCATCAGGCTTATCAATAAAAACTGGGTTTAAGTAAGAAATTTTCATTCCATTTCATATAATATCTCGTAATGTCTTCCCAAGTTCCTTACCACAAGCATGTGAAATAACAAATTAAATTGATGAATGAGAGTAACCTGCTTAAAAAGCCAACACTAAGGGTATCACACATAAGAGATATTCATGAGTTTCAAAAACCAAGGTACCTACCTCCTGGGTGACACAAACATGGTGAGTCAGTTGAGAGATCTTGCTCATTCACTTTTCTAGTTCTGAGGCAAAGGGGTTTCAGTTTCTCTTCTGCCTTGTCTTAATCAGTTGGGTGGAATGAGTTTTCACTGTGAGGACAAATCAGGTCCCCTCTTGCCAGCAGAGGGGTAAGATGGTGTGGGGTGGGTCCGAGAGAATGGAGAGGATATCCTGAAGGCAGGACACAAAGTTGAGCTGCCTGGGTGGGGCTGGATGACCTATGGGGTTTGATCTGTGACATCATAGTGGCAGGCAGGGACCTCCTTTTTCTCCCACCTCCCCCACCTCCAGAAGGATGAGACCACTCTGGAGTGTCTACCAAAGGCCTGCATGCCTTCTGAGGTCATCCAGATCAGTGTTTCTCTTACTGTGCATAAGAATCAGCTAGGGATCTTGGTAAAATGCAGATTCTGAAGGTCTGGAATGGCTCCCATATGGTGCCAGAGATGCTGGTCTGCAGATGACACTTTGAGGTAGAAGGCTCTAGATCCAAACAAACCAAACTAAACTTGCTGCCGTTGAGTTGGAGCTGACTCATTGCGACTCCTCCTTGGGTTTCCAAGATGGTATCTCTACGGAAGTAGGTTGCCCAGTCTTCCTTCCAAGGAGTGGCTGGTGGCTTTGAACCACCAGCCTTCTGGTTATCAGTCTAATGCCATAGGCACTATAGCACCAGAGTGCTACCCAAATACAATGGAAGCCACATATGAAAATTTCAATTTAAGTAGCCACTTAAAAAAAAGTGAGATGGACACATGGACTACAATATAAGAAAAATATTTTACACAATGCTATGGCTAAAGAAAGGAGCCTGGTGGCACAGTGGTGAAAACATTTGGCCCCTTACTGAAAGCTTGGTGGTTTGAACCCACCAGCCACTCTTCAGGAGAAAGATGTGGCAGTCTGCTTTTGTAAAGATTATAGCCTTGGAAACCCTACTCAGAAAGTAGAAAAGAAAGTTCTACTCAGTCCTATAGGGTTGCTGTGAGTCAATCGATTCAACAGTAATCTTTTTTCAATGACTAAAGTAAAATATAGGCCTTCCAAAACAATGAAGTTGGGTTCAATGGAAAAATATTTCATGCTGCTTACTTTTTGAAATTTAAATTAAATAAAATTAGAGATTCAGTTTTTCAGTAGCACTAGCGACATTACAATAGCTCAAGAGCCATGTACGGCTAATGGCTATGGTATTGGAAAGCACAGCCCTAGACTGTTCCCTGAAAAGTTAATGATGTATAGAAATTACCCATTCTAAATGACCTAGTAGCCCATTATGGAAGCCTAGTAGACATTTGCTAACATAATTTTAATGAATAAAGAAGTAGAATTTGGGAGATATTAACACTGGGACAATTCTCTGTGGCTTGAGGAGAGGGATGTTGGCTCCTCCAGTATTCCCGTCAAGAGTATGGGCTGGAGGCCTCTGTCCCCTGAGAAGTGTCATGCTCAGTCTCCTGAATTTTTTCCCGAGGCCCCTAACTGGGATTCCTTGTTCCTCCTTGCTACCCCTCTTAACTGTTACACAACCTTCTGGACATAGGATTCCAGTCCCAATTCAGCCACAAATTTTCCCTTGTTAGTACAGCTCTCTTGACTCTCCCTTTCCTCTGAGCTTGCATAGCAGGCCTGGCCTGGCTGTATAATGGGAAACTTTCTTTCTTTTTTTTTTTAAATTGGAATCTATTCTTTACTTCTGTAGTACCTAATATAGTGCTGAGGGTATAAGAGTTGTTCAATAAATATTTATTATTTCATTTAATGATCTAAGATACTTAAGTAAATGTCTAAGAGAACATCAGACCTAAAAGTATCAGTAGCTTGAACAAGTGGAATAACATATCTTGTTCTTGGCATGTCTTGACTTTATCAAGATGTCATTTCTCCCCAGGTTAATTTATAAGTTTAACGCAATCCCAAGGAGCTCTGGTAGCATAGTGCCTAAGGCACCTGACTGCTAACCAGAAGACTGGAGGTTCAAACCCACCAGCCACTCCTCGGAAGGAAGGTTGGACAATCTACTTCCGTAGTAATACTGCCTCGGAAACCCAAGAAGGGGTCAGTCACTATGAGTCGGATCCAACTCGACAGCACATAACAACAACAATAATGCAATCCCAATACAAATACCAAAGAACATTTTGAAGGAGCAAGAAAAATTGATATTAAACTTCATATGGGAAGACATATGATAAGACTAGCTAAGAAAACAATGAAAAGGAAGAACTCTGAGGGGGGACTTACCTTAGCAGATATTGAAACATACTATGAAGCCTCTGTGGTGGTTATGTTTGTGTGTCAACTTGGCTTGGCCTGGTTGAGTGGCTGGGCAGCTGGATGTAGTATTCCCCATGATGAGACTGGTAATCAACTCCATGGTGGAATCTACTGTGAGCAGCTGAGTAGCTGCCTTTGGGTATGTGGGCCACTTCCCGTATATAAGCAGGATCTTTGGGAATGGTCTTTATACTTTGGCACACTTGGACCCTGCATGTAGCCGTCTCGTTGCTCACCAGCCTGCTATGCTCTGCCGACCTTGGGACTTACAATGGACTTAAGTTAATGGCCTGCCATGTGGTTTGGTAACCTCAGGACTGTGCCTTTTTACTTGTCAACCTTGGGGCTTCTCAGCCTCAGCAGCCAGCAGCTGAGTGAAGAAATGCCTCTAGCTCCAGTGGGCTGGGAGAAGGAGGCAGAGCTGGACCCCAAGGTTGAAGGACTTTCCCCCAGCCCCTAGAGCCTGGCACTTTGAACTTGGACTTAAAAACTTCAAATTGTAAGAATAAACTCCTGTTTGTTAAGGCCATCCCATTTGTGGTATATTTCTTGTTAGAGCAGTACTAGGTAACCAGAAAAACTTCTATAATTAAAACAGTGTGGTGCTGGTGCATTACTAGAAAAACAGAACAATGAAATAGAATAGAAAGCCAAGAAATAAACACTCTACGTATAAACATCTCATTTTTTACAAAGGTGATTTCTCAAATCACTGAGACAAAGATAAGCTTTTTAACCCACCATGTTGGGACAAGCTGAATAATATTTGAAAAAATATTAATTGTGTTATTTGATTATATCGTATACAGTAATAAACTCCAAATAGACTAGAGATCTGAATATAAAAAATAAAATTATACAACTACTAGAAAAAAATATGGGTAAATTTCCCTACAACCTCGGTATAAAGGCTTTCTAACTCTGACTGAAAATCTAAATACTAGATTAGAAAAGATTGATTATATTAAAAAATCACCATAAGTAAAATAAAAAACAAATGACAAACCGGGAGAAAAAATTTGTAACATTCCAAAAACCCACTGCTGTGGAGTCAGGTCTGACTCATAGTGACTCCTCCTTGTGTTTCTGAGGCGTTATCACTACAGAAGTAGATTGTCCAACCTTTCTTCCGGGGAGTGACTAGTGGGTTTGAACCACCAGCCTTCTGGTTAGGCCCTACACCACCAGAGCTCCCAAAGAGACGGCCCACTCTACTGAGTGGGGAGAGGCTGGTGGGTTTGAACCTCAAGCCTTGAGCTTGGCAGGTGACTGCCTTAGGCCTGAGGCCATGCCCTAGGGCCTTGTAACATACATCACAGATAAAAGGCTAATATATCTAATATACGATGAACTTCTAAAAATTAATGCAGAAAACAAAGGCAAAAATTCAATAGAAAAGCACACAAAATACAAGAACAGACAACATACCAAAAAAAAAAAAAAAAAAAAAAACCCTTATACATGGAAGGATGTTCAACTTTACTTATAATAAGAGTTATGCAAATTAAGACTACAATGAAGTATCATTTCTCATGTGTCAGGCTGGCAAAAATTGAAAAGTTTGACAATATTCTCATCGCTTTGGGTAAACAAGGCATTCTTGTATCTCACTGGCAGCAATACAAAATGGCACCACCTCGGTGGAGGAGGATTTGGAATCATCTAATAAAGAGTTGCATGTGCATTTATCACTGATCCAGAAATCCTACTTCTAGGATTTTACCCTGAACAATTTACCTCCAAGAATATGAAACTATATACTCAAAAGTTATTCATTACAACATTATTTGTAGTATAAAATACTGGAAACTACCTAAATACCCAAGCAAAGGAGATTGGTTGAATAAAATATGGTACACAGTGGAGTCCTCTGGAGCTGTAATAAAAAAAAAAAAAATGAGGGAGATTTCTTTGAACTGATACAGAGTGAGTCTCAGGAAATACTAGCTGAAAAAAAGCAAAGTGCAAAAGATCTTTTGTGTAAGAAAAAAGGAGAAATAAAACCCATATCCATATACATATATCTGCTTAGAAGCTCTGGTGGCATAGTGGTTAAAGCATTGAGCTGCTAACCAAAAGGTCAATCATTCAAACCCACCGGCTGCTCCATGGGAGAAAGATTAGGCAGTTGGCTTCCATAAAGATTTACAGCCTTGGAAACCCAACGGCAGTCACTATGAGTCGCAATCGACTTGATGGCAGTGGGTTGGGAGATTTTGGTATTGCTTCCAAGAGAAACAGAGGGATAAACCACAAAACAATGAAGTTGATTATTTACTGGAGGGAGAGGGTGGAGTGGAAATGATTCAGGACAGAGCAACTTCTCTGAGAAGAATTTTTTTCTTTTTTTTTTTTTGGTATAGTTTTGACTTTTGGAAGCATGCTAATGTTCTATGTATTTATAAATAAAATTGAAACAAGACAAGGAAACACCTAAAACTGAAAGCAAACTGAAAAAAATGCACCCAGTTGTACTTCAAATGAATACTATAACTACACTGAAGAGGTACAAAGCAAAAGAAAAATCAAAACCAAATAATTTTTGAACACAGCATTTGACTGTCTACCCTCACTCTTGGGTGGGGTTGATGGAGGAAGAATGGAAAACAACTCTCCAGCTCTTTAATGGTGTTGCTTATTGTGGTAGATATGTGAAGTGATTTGGAAACATTTTAGATGTATTATGGGATTGGATAATTGAGGAAATGTGTTAAAGCTGTTGGGAGCCAGAATTCTCAGTGTGGAAAAGAATAATTAAATATGGAATGGGAAAAACAAGAAAGAATCCTACAGGGTGAAAGGGAGTTAGAGCCATCAGTGTGAATTCATGGTTTCTTAAAAAACAAACAAAACAAGCCC